CCCAAGGATCAACGATCGCAAGGACCAACGACCAGGATAACCAGCAGCACCGACCCCAAGGATCAACGATCGCAAGGACCAACGACCAGGATACCCAGCAGCACCGACCCCAGGGATCAACGACCAACCGGAATAACCAAACGAGCTGAGGATCGTGAATCCAACTGAAATTCCTGCCTATCAGTCGCGACCCCGAATTGGACTAATCCGTAGTGCCCTTCGTGTCCAGTGTAGTGACCCAGTTTCCCCAAGTGATAGTCCCCTCGCCATCCTATGGGTGTACAGTGGTTTTCGTATCGGCGAAAGGACGAGCTGCAGGCCATTGCCATCGATCTGGGCCTCGTAGAAAACGGCACCGTAGAGGAGTTACGTAGTCGGATCTCGACTTTTATCTCGCGCGGTGAACACTCGGCGACGGTCAAACAGCGGATAAAGGAGCTAGGAACCAGATACAACAGTGCACCCAGTCCAAGGACTCAGAGGACTCCTACCTCGTCACCCGGACCAAGCGGCCGAGAAGAGAAGGAGGGAGCCCATCTGCAGCAGCCCTTACAAATACTCATCCCAGAGTTGCCCAAAGTAACCCGAGGACCCGGACCGAAGGATTCGAACCACCCAGAAGCCACTGCCGAACGACAACCCAGGGCCGACAACTACGAGCAGCACTCAGCCCAAGGATTCCGAGATTCGCGACCCGGAAGGGAAGAAATCTCCTACGTCATGTTGGCCGATAAACTGCGCAGCTGGGGACTGAAATTCGACGGACATTCGGACGCATTAGCCTTCATTGAACGGCTAGAGGAACGCGTGGAATCGTATGGAGGGAACCCGGAACAGCTGCCTCGAGCCATCTCCGGATTGCTAACCCACAAGGCGGAAGGATGGTTTAGAACCTTCCAGATGCAAGGAAAATCCTGGAACGAATTCCGAAAGGAGTTTCTCGATTTCTTTTTGCCCCCTAGGTATTTTCAGCGACTAGAAGATACGATCCGAAGCAGGTACCAAAGGCCCAATGAGACATTCCAGGATTACATGATCGAGCTTCGACTCATGATGCAACGAGCCCAATATACTCTGAACAGGGAGCTGGACAGGATATACGAAAACCTTAACCCCGAATATCAACTCTTCACCCGGAGACACGAGTTCGAGACTCTGGAGGAGCTCTCGCAGTTGATAGTGGCATATGAGACGACGCGGGACCGCAAACAAACCCAACCGGCTAGCAACCACCAGGGACACGGATCCCCGGCCCCGAATCGCACCTCTTCAGACGAAATAGGACCCGCCCGAAAAGCTGAGACAGCCAACCGCGTGACCACCCAAGATGGAGACAAGCTGGTGGACGTACGCCGAGCCTGCCGGAACTGTGGAGAGGAAGGCCATTTCAGCAGCGCCTGCAGGAACCGACGAGTCTTGTTTTGCTGGGAGTGCGGCCGCCGCAGTATCCGGACAATCGACTGCTGCCGCCAATCTGGGTCGGGAAACGGACTGAGTCTCCGTCCGGTCAGCACCCGAACGGAGACACCCATCCAGGAACCCCAGGAATAACGCACCCGCTAAGCTTGGAGGGGGGGTAGGATCGCCGCACGGGTAACCATGGCTGGGATACCATTGTCAGCGACCCTCGACACAGGGGCGACTCGCTCATTCATCAGCCAGCGAACAGTGCCGATTCTCAGCACGGAAAGAAAATTACGGAACGTAAGGACGCGGGTCCGCCTGGCAGACGGAACTATGAAGGAGGTGACCCAAGCAGTAACAGTCCAGGTAAGATTAGACCAACAAGAAACGCAGGTAACATTGTTAGTACTACCTATGGTGGTCGACGATGTCATCCTCGGACTTGACTTCCTATGCGGCATCAAAGCCATAATTCAATGCGGACGAGCGTACCTGCAGCTGACCCGGGAAATCAGCCCGTTCATGCTGACGACGCCCCGCACAGTGACCTTCCGTGAAGACCCTTCCCCACGCAAATACCCGGATAACGACTACCGAACCGACCCAACGGCAACCACTACGACAACACTTACGACACGATTGGACTCAGCTAGACCCAACGCCGCCCACGGAACAACGAATTGGAACCACGAACAAGCCAGACCCCGAAGCACGGCCATCATGACATCAGGACACGATCACACCAACGACAGCAATGGAACCTCGACGGAGACGACTGCGACACCGCTGGATACACCCAGGGCCAGTCTTTCTATCGACAACTCAACGCCAGACGCCAACGACAGCAATGGAACCTCGACGGAGACGACTGCGACACCGCTGGATGCACCCAGGGCCAGTCCGTCTGCCGACGACTCAACGCCGGACGCACACAGAGGCAACGGGACTACGGCGAAGGCAACTGCGACACCGCTGGATACCCCCAGGGCCAGTTCATGCCCTCGCCAGTCCAACTTAGACAACGCCAGGAACCCCGAAACTTCAGTGAAGGAGGCTGCGACACCGCTGGATACTACCAGGGCCAGGCGACCTACTCTGAGGGCAACGCAAAGTGACCCTACCCGGACAACGCATACCAGCCTCAACCATAACAGACTCTGCAGCAACGCCCCAGGAATCATACCATCAAGCCCCGACGACGAAAGTTCCAGCCACTCGACCAGGACAACACATTCACGCCCCGACGGCGGAAAACCCAGCCGCTCTACCAGGACAACGCACTCAAGCCCCGACGACGAAAAACCCAACTGCTCTACCCGGACAACGCCGAGAGCACATCAAGACACCAGCATTGCACCAGCCCATGACGGACAGATCGAGAGGAACTACCCGGAACAAACCCCCCGAATGGACTACAAGCTATTACCATTGGCCGACGCGGCCATTGGTCAACGGCGGAATCCATTTCGCCGGACTGGCCTGACGACATCTTTCACGGTAACTTAGCCATCATCACCAGCACGCTGCTCGAAGAAACCCCGCTACAAACATCCCGGGCCAAAGAACCACCACTCACGCCGTGGGTAGCCGCGTTCTTGGAGGAAGAGTTGGCCAAATTCGAGGGCCTAGCAGGTATTTCCCACATAGCCCAACATACGATTTATATGAAAGACGACAAGCCCGTGAAGCAACGGTATTACCCTAAAAACCCGGCCATGCAGAAGATCATAGATGACCAAGTCGACGAGTTACTGCGGGACGGACGGATCGAAGCTTCAAAGAGCCCACACAGCGCACCCATTGTACTCGTAGGAAAGAAGACAGGCGAGATGCGTATGTGTGTCGACTTCAGGCAACTCAACGCCCGGTCAGTACCTGATGCCTACCCACTTCCCAGGATCAACCATATCCTTGAAAGACTTCGTGACGCCCACTACATCTCCACGTTGGACCTGAAGAATGGGTATTGGCAGATCCCGATGGCGGAAGGAAGTCGAGAGTGCACGGCATTTACCGTACCAGGCAGAGGACTCTTCCATTGGAAAGTTATGCCGTTCGGCCTGCACTCGGCCCCTGCTACGTTTCAGCGAGCCCTGGACAGCGTTATCGGACCAAAGATGGAACCTCATGCCTTCGCTTACCTAGATGACATCATTGTCATCGGAAACGCCTTGGATGACCACGTAAAAAATCTGCGAGAAGTATTCCAAAGGCTACGAGACGCAAATCTGAGACTGAACCAAAACAAATGCAGGTTCTTCCAAAAGAGCATCGTTTACCTGGGACATGTCGTTAGCGAACAGGGGATCCATACTGACCCAGAGAAGATTGTGGCCGTCCGGAAATTAAACCCCCCGAGTACTGTCAAGGAGTTGAGACGCTGCCTGGGAATGGCATCGTGGTACCGCCGCTTCGTCCCGAACTTCGCTACGATCGTGCAACCCATGACCGTCCTCCTAAAGAAGGACAAACCGTGGATCTGGGGAGAGGAGCAACAGAGAGCATTTGAGGACCTGAAAGAGAAGTTGACCCAAGCACCCGTCTTAGCATGCCCAGACTTTACGGAAAGGTTTACCCTACAAACCGACGCCAGCTCCTTTGGATTGGGAGCAGTCTTGACACAGCAGATCGCCGGAGAAGAGAGGGTCATAGCCTATGCCAGTCGCCGCCTGTTGAAAGCCGAGGAGGACTACTCGGCAACGGAAAAGGAGTGTTTGGCTATCATCTGGGCTATCCGGAAGTTACGATGCTACTTGGAAGGTTATCAATTTGACGTCGTTACCGATCATCTCGCCTTGAAATGGCTAAATTCGATAAACAACCCTACCGGTCGAATTGCTCGTTTGGCGTTGGAGCTCCAACAGTATCGCTTCGATATCCACTACCGTCGTGGGAGCCAGAACGTAGTAGCCGACGCACTCTCGCGTCAACCTATCGAAACCTTGCAACGAACCTTAGAGGCACCACCCGCGTGCCCCTGGATTCAGCGACTGCGCAAAAGGATCCAGGAACAGCCCGAAAAGTGCCACGACTTTCTGATCGAGAACGGACAGATCTACAAGCGGACAGGATGCCGGCCAGAAGAGGAAGACTCGCTACAATGGAAACTATGAGTCGCCAGCGAACATCGTCGACGAGTACTGGAGGAGAGCCACGATCACCCCACCGCAGGACACCTAGGAATCCGGAAGACAGCCGACCGTGTGACCAGACGATATTACTGGCCTGGACTCTACCGGAACGTCGCCCAGTACGTCCAACGATGCGAAAGCTGCCAGAAGTTTAAGGTGAGCCAAAGGAAACCAGCTGGGCAAATGCACACACGGCAAGCCAAAGGCCCGTTCGACATTTTGTGTGCAGATTTCGTAGGTCCGTTGCCACGGTCAACACATGGAAACACAATGCTCCTAGTGTTTTTCGACTCCTTCTGTAAGTGGGTGGAACTGGTCCCACTGCGAACGGCCACCACCGCCCAATTAGAAAAGGCATTTCGGGAACGGATCCTCAGCAGATTCGGGATACCCAGGAAGTTCGTTTGTGACAACGGCACTCAATTTACGAGTCGCTCTTTCCGGAAATTCTGCGATCAAGCAGGAATGGCATTGGAACACACGGCACCGTATACCCCGCAACAAAACCCCACCGAGAGGGCGAACAGGACCATCAAGACTATGATGGCACAATACATAGAGGGCGACCAGCGGACATGGGATGATCTACTACCCGAATTGAGCTTGGCCATCAACAGCAGTGCTTCGGATACCACCGGGTTTAGTCCAGCATTCCTCGTACTCGGTCGGGAACCACGATTGCCAGGAGCACTTTACGATGAAGTGACCCCAGGAATGGGAGAAGAAGCAGAACCCGCACACGACAAGTCAACGCGACTTCAGGAAATCTTCAAGGTGGTGCAGGCGAACACTCAACGGGCGTCCCAAGAGCAGAGAAGGACGTACAATTTGCGAAGACGAGAATGGCGACCCACACTAGGAACGATGGTCCTTCTCCGCCAGCATCACTTGTCCAAAGCATCTGACGGTTTCGCAGCGAAACTAGCCCCGAAGTACGACGGACCGTACAAGATCGTCAAATTCTTATCTCCCAATATAGTTCGGCTGCAAACCCCGCAAGGAAGGCAAGGAAAGACCGCGAGCTTGATGGACCTGAAGGAGTTTCACGCGGTTGACGACGACGAGCCGGCACAGACGGCACCAAAGACGCTTCAATGAACAAACGATTCACGAGGGCCACTTACGGTAGCGCGCTACCGTAACGTCCTCGCCCCGAAAGGGCAAATCCACAAGCCGTAAGCTGTCATACGTATATATCCCCTTAAGGGATTAGATTAAGAACCAATGTATTAACCTTCTCACCAGCACCGCTCAAGCAGGATAGGGGGAGGGTACCAATTTCATTCATATAAGACAGGCAGGTAATAACCGCTGGGGGTTTTCTCCTTAGGCGGACGAACATGAAGCGTCGGCATAACGAGAGAGCGGGCCGACCCCTAGAAGCACGTGGCGACACAACCGGGCGTTCCAACGGAGGGCGACAAGCAAGGGGCAGGACGGCCAACACGACGCGGGACAACGCTACAACAACCAGTCGCGGCTACACCCCATATGGGCCATCGGGCTATCCGATGCCAGATTGCTTTCGGATGGAACAAGAAGCCTTCGCCGACTACCAGCGAATCCCCCCCCGGACCAGCGATTGGCCGCCGTATCAGGATGGCTTGAGCAACAGCCGCCAGTGGTCCATAACACAGAGGCAGAGAAAGGAGAGGAAGGTCCCCACTACTCGGATATATCCGAGTGCAGCGAGCAGGAAGCAGAGGCAGAAGAAGAGAGAGAGCCCGACGGCCGCTTCGCGACTAATGGCGTCCGACTACCCCCCAATCACAACGTCGCCGCCTTGAACCGTCGTTTGTTCGGGGCCTATGGTCCTGCTGTCGACGACGAAAACGTGACCACGGACACCGATGATCAGGACACGATCCTACGTAGCCAAGGCAGTCCGGTTTCCACCCTGATGGGCGCGATCGACTCTGGCTACCAAGGAAGTACCGTTGCCCCAAGTGACAGTACCGTCACCTCGCCCCCGCCAGTCGATTGGGAATACCCTCTTTGGGCAGAATGGGACCTGGTGAACCCCAGGCAGGCCGAATTCGGTGGAGAGAGAGCAGTCACAGAGCCCCAGGAAGAAGGCTCCCGCTACGCGGCCACAGCCGGACACAGCGACCCGGGAAAAGAAGCGAAGCTTCGTCACGACGCACCATCGCCGGAGTCTGACGTCGCGTCCCTCGTGAGCCTGAGCTTCGCGCCCCAGGGCGACGCTCCGTGGGCATCAGCCCTACGCTACCCTACCAGTGCCACGCCTCCACCATCGGTAGCCCAGGAGGACGAACCGCCGCCACTACGCTATGCCAACGACTCACCGGAATCCGAGTGTAGCCTCCCACTGGCATTAGAAGAAGCGGCCGACTTGCTAAGCCTGTTCCGACTACACCCAGGGATAGCGATGATACAGGAGGAGGGCCGCTGGGCAGAAGCCCCATTAGAATGGCGAATTAACACGCCTGACCGTCAGCTGCCCATCGACCTGATAAGCAACATCACGGTCTACCTCCGCCAAGAGATGGCCCGACCAGGGGTAAGGCGGTTGGAAATCCATGATGGACGATGCTTTCGCATTAAAATCACGCGAAGCCGAGCAGTCACGGTAACTCTTCGGACCCCCCCGAAATGAGGAGGGCGTGTGAAGGAGCAAACGGCTCCATCAAAATTTTCTCCCATGAAGGGAAACACAGACGGACGTACTTTCTTGCCATTCCCACTGAAGGGACAACATTCCGTTCCTACAAGGAGACACCCCAGGAGGGACTCCGCAATTTAAATGAATACTTATATTTTTGTTATATTTTTTAGGATTAAGCTTTGACATTCCCCATTCGTAGACTTAATTATACGACCCTAAGGGCCAATAAGCACTTGCATTCTCGTGATTTCAGGAAAGGGGGGGAACCGTGATCGGACGGCATCTCTAAAACGCGTCATCAACGGAAAGCTCCCACAACCGAGGTAAGCCAAGCCGCGAACCAAAAGCTCCAACAGCAGAGACGAAAACCAAAGCTCGGCCACCCATACTAACGTGGAACCGACAAGAGAGCGCGAGAAAACAGCAGCCGCAACGAATATCAGCAACGAGCCCACAGAGAGAGAGAGAGCCCGAACGAAGCAGACGAAAACCAAAGCTCGGCCACCCATACCAACGTGGAACCGACAAGAGAGCGTGAGAACAACGGCGGCCGCAACAAATATCAGCTACGAGCCCACAGAGAGAGAGAGGGCGTGGGCGTATAGCGAAGAGGAAAACGAAGTCGAGAGACCGGCAACGAGGTTCGAGATGGCGAGCGTGAGAGATCGTGGGGGAGTCGGTGTTAGAGTGCAAAACAGGGCAGACGTGCGCAAAAGTTAGCGCAAGGAAAAAACGGCGCGCACGGAAGGCAAACGGCGACACGCACGGCTCCACGCGTGCATCGGCCAGAGGAGAGGACGACGATCTCCCGCCCGGGGACACAACAAGGAAGAACTCGAACGCAAGGATTGAGGGTAAGCGAGTCTCACCGTCGTGAGTAGGCGGGCAGCTGAGCGGTGCGGTAGGCAGGGTCCACGAGCCAGGAAAAGGCCAGGAATAAAGGATTAATCAAACGTCAAAATCGCCGTCTTGACTTCTTTTGTGGGATTATTTTGTGAAGTCGTGTGGGATTTCTGTTGAGCAAGCAGGGAATACGCGCAACAGATGGTTCCTCCACATTTCCCGCTCGTAGTTTCCCAGAGGGGCCGCCCGGCGACTGCCCAGGTGCCCTCTAGGAATAATGTTCCCTCTTTCCCGTTCGTAGTTTCCCAGAGGTGCCTCCCGGCGACTGCCCAGGTGCCTTCTGGGAATAATTTTCCCGATTTCCCGCCCGTAGCTTCCCAGAGGTGCCGCCCGGCGACTGCCCAGGTGTCCTCTGGGAATAAAGTTCCCTATTTCCCGTTCGTAGTTTCCCAGAGGGGGCCGCCCGGCGACTGCCCAGGTGCCCTCTAGGAATAATGTTCCCCGTAGTCCTCCCGTAGTTTCCCAGAGGGGCCGCCCGGCGACTGCCCAGGTGCCTTCTGGGAATAATGTTCCTGATTCCCGCCCGTAGCTTCCCAGAGGTGCCGCCCGGCGACTGCCCAGGTGTCCTCTAGGAATAATGTTCCCTATTTCCCGTTTGTAGTTTCCCAGAGGGTGCCGCCCGGCGACTGCCCAGGTGTCCTCTAGGAATAATGTTCCCCGTAGCCCGCCCGCAGTTTCCCAGAGGGGCCGCCCGGCGACTGCCCAGGTGCCTTCTGGGAATAATGTTCCTGATTCCCGCCCGTAGCTTCCCAGAGGTGCCGCCCGGCGACTGCCCAGGTGCCTTCTGGGAATGATTTTCCCGATTTCCCGCCCGTAGCTTCCCAGAGGTGCCGCCCGGCGACTGCCCAGGTGCCCCCTGGGAACAATTCCACGATTCCCCGCCACGAGACCCACTCTCCGCCCCGTTGGACGCTCAAGACTCGGAGTCCCGGCAAATTATAAATATTTCTGTAATTTCGACCCTGGCGTGACTGAGAGTTGTACCCCGGCCTAGATCGCTTCCTTACAGTATGGAGGCGGAGGTTTGAACACTTCCCGAGGAGAAGATTGTTGCGGAGGTTTGAACACACTCCGAGGAGAAGATTGATGCGGAGGTTTGAAGACACGCTCCGAGGAGAAGATTGATGCGGAGGTTTGAACACACTCCGAGGAGAAGATCGATGCGGAGGTTTGGACACGCTCCAAGGAGAAGATCGAGGCGGAGGTTTGAACACACTCTGGATAAGATTCAGAGGTTTGGACACACTCTGGGGAGGATTTAGAGGTTTGGACAAACTCTGGAGAGGATTCAGAGTTTTGGACACACTCTGGAGAGGATTCAGAGGTTTGGACACACTCTGGAGAGGATTCAGAGGTTTGGACACACTCTGGAGAAGATTCAGAGGTTTGGACACACTCGGGAGGGGAGAGGTAAAGTATTGAGCAGAAGGAGAGGAAAGGTAGATATTACCTTTATCACAAGATCCGCTGTAAAATTCTGGTTTGTTAGGCCAGGGCTTTCCGAGTTGGACTGCCCCGATTCGATCTGGCGATCCTCCTTTTATTGCCGGCGCTCAGCTGTTGGGGCCCTATATGGGCCTAGCGCGTTTTGGTTTTGCCATAACGCGTCCCGGCTGCGCTGTTAGTGTGGCCGTGGGTCGGTTTGGCGCGCGCGCCCTTTGTTTGAATTTTCCAACTGTGTTTATTATTTATTATTTATTTAAGGTAACTTCATGTTTTCGGTCGCTTATAAATATGTAATATGTAAGAATATGTGATATGATAATAGGTAAGAGATAATAATATGTGTAATATATGTAATGTCTGTTGTAATGTGGCACCGGCGCTTTGTGTGGTGGCGCTGGACGTCACAATCGTATGTTGGGCTATGTGGGAAATACCTGCTATGCCCTCGAATTTGGCCAATTCTTCCTCCAAGAACGCGGCTACCCACGGCGTGAGTGGTGGTTCTTTGGCCCGGGATGTTTGTAGCGGGGTTTCTTCGAGCAGCGTGCTGGTGATGATGGCTAAGTTTACCGCCAATGGTGCTAGCTTGTAGTCCATTCGGGGGTAAGTTCCGGGTCATTCCTCTCGATCTGTCCGTTATGGGCTGGTGCGATGCTGATGTGCTCTCGGCGTTGTCCTGGTAGAGCAGCTGGGTCGTTCGTCGTCGGGGCTTGATGGGATGATTCCTGGGGCGTTGTTGCAGAGTCTTTTATGGTTGAGGCTGGTATGCATTGTCCGGGTAGGGTCACTTTGCGTTGTCTTCAGAGTAGGTCGACTGGCCCTGGTAGTATCCAGCGGTGTCGCTGCCTCCTCCACTGAAGTTTCGAGGTTCCTGGCGTTGTCCAAGTTGGACTGGCGAGGGCATGAACTGGCCCTGGGAGTATCCAGCGGTGTCGCAGTTGCCTTCGCCGTAGTCCGTTTGTGTGCGTCCGGCGTTGAGTCACCGGCAGACGGACTGGCCCTGGGTGCATCCAGCTGAGTCGCAGTCGTCTTCGTCGAGGTTCCGTTGTTTTCGTTTGCGTCTGGCGTTGAGTTGTCGGTATCAAGACTGGCCCTGGGTGTATCCAGCGGTGTCGCAGTCGTCTCCGTCGAGGTTCCGTTTTTGGGTATGCTGGTGTGATCGAGTCCTGATGTCATGAAGCACGGTCATTCGGGGTCTGGCTTGTTCGTGGTTCCAATTCGTTGTCCCGTGGGCGGCGTTGGGTCTAGCTGGGTCCAATCGTGTCGTAAGTGTTGTCCTAGTGGTTGCCGTTGGGTCGGTTCGGTAGTCGTTATCCGGGTATTTGCGTGGGGAAGGGTCTTCACGGAAGGTCACTGTGCGAGGTGTCGTCAGCATGAACGGGCTAATTTCCCCGGGTCAGCTGCAGGTATGCTCGTCCGCATTGAATTATGGCTTTGATGCCGTATAGGATGTCAAGTCCAAGGATGACATCGTCGACCACCATAGGTAGTACTAACAATGTTACCTGCGTTTCTTGTTGGTCTAGTCTTACCTTGACTGTTACTGCTTGGGTCACCTCCTTCATAGTCCCGTCTGCCAGGCGGACCCGCGTCCTTACGTTCCGTATTTTTCCTTCCGTGCTGAGCATTGGCACTGTTCGCTGGCTGATAAATGAGCGAGTCGCCCCTGTGTCGAGGGTCGCTGATAATGGTATCCCGGCAATGGTTACCCGTGCGGCGATCCTACCACCCTCCAAGCTATAAGGAAGTTTCGCTGGGGTACAGACTCTCAGTCTGGCCAGGGCCCGATCCTCTGCAGCAAGATTTTCTTATTTGTTGTGGGACCTCGAGAAGATCTATGTAAATGTCGCACTGGCGCACCGGAATGCGAGGGCGGACGCATGTGGCGAGGGGCAGTTACAGCGGGGAAGGGTCAGACCCACGGGCACGGTGCTTCCACGTCCAGTATCGCAGACTGACTCTCCACACTAAAGGGAAATAGCTACTGGGGAAGGAAGAGGAGCAGCTCTACGGGCACCGTGTTTCCACGTCCAGTGTCGCAGACTGACTCTCCACACTAAAGGGAAATAGCTACGTGGGAAGGGGGGATGATCAGCTCTGCGGACACTGTGTTTCCACGTCTAGTGCCGCGGACCGACTCCCCAACTACAGGGAAATAACTACTGGGGAAAGGAGGAAGGATTACCTACAGTCGCCGTGCTTCCACGTCCGGCTTCTGTAAGTTGAGGTTGAGGCTTTGGTGGACTAACTGGACTTCAGTCGTGGTGGCAGGGGTCGGGGGTACTAGTTTGAGTTCCCAGTTCCCTCCCAGTAGAATAATCTGGGTGAATTTGGTTTATTCCTTTTGTATTTTTGTTAAATCATTCCCTACGCCCTACCCATCTCACCGCTATTGTCCCCTACTCACTTAAGTGAAGCCAGCTTATCCTCTCCACGGCATGGTATTCCGAGCAGCTCGTTTGGTTGTTGCGTGGTTTTCTCTTCGTAGTTGTGGGGCGGGGTCGGCACGGTCACTTTTGGCGGCAGGGCACTGGTTTTTGTTTTCCGCGAATAAGACTGGTACTTTTGGCGATCTCCACTTGACTCCTGAGCCGCACTATTCGACGCGGGCTCGAACCCTTCTTTTCCAGGCAGCGACATCGGTATCACGCCGTCTCCCTCTTTTCCATGTGTGGGGGGGGTGAGTCCACCCTCTGCTGAGAGTCGCTGCTCAGCCTTCGTTCCTCTGCTTGCTGCTCGGCCACTGCGTTCTGTCGCTGGGCCGCATTTTGAGCGAAGTTTCTCTCTCTGCTGTGGCATGCCGTTTCGGGTCGGACGTATGTGTCGCTCTCTCCCGTAGGTCTGTCGCTGGGCTGCATTTTGAGCGAAGTCGCTCTCTCTGTTGTGGTGCGTCGTTTTGGACCGTGACGTATGTGTTGCTCTTTCCCGTAGATCGTGGCCTGCTGTGCTCGTTTGTCAGGTGTGACGTCACTTGTTCTTCGCTGTGGCTGTGTGGGTGTGTGTGGGGCGGGCAGAGATGACGAGTACGGTGACTGTTTCCTGACCACGGTTTGCCCTATGAATTTAGGATGTTTTTTGCCCTACGCGGTTTTCGCCTCTATTCTCCACTATGTACAGCTCTTATGATTAGGTGAAAGAAATGAAAAGACTTAATGCTAGGGTGACTATGAAATAACATACGAACTATGAAAAAATAATAATAAATGAAAAATGAGGTTCTACCTCCCTCTATTTACATATGTACATGCCCCTTGTAAGGGCACTCCCTTACAAAGCTTAGGGGGTGCGTTATTCCTGGGGGTCCTGGATGGGTGTCTGCGTTCGGGTGCTGACCGGACGGAGACTCAGTCCGTTTCCGGACCCGGATTGGCGGCAGCAGTCGATTGTCCGGATACTGTGGCGGCCGCACTCCCAGCAAAACAAGACTCGTCGGTTCCTGCAGGAGCTGCTGAAATGGCCTTCCTCTCCACAGTTCCGGCAGGCTCGGCGTACGTCCACCAGCTTGTCTCCATCTCGGGTGGTCACGCGGTTGGCTGTCTCAGCTTTTTGGGAGGGTCCTGTTTCGTCTGAAGAGGTACGATGCGGGGCCGGTGATCCGTGTCCCTGGTGGTTGCTAGCCGTTTGGGTTTGTCTGTGGTCCCGAGTCGTCTCATATGCCACTATCAACTGCGAGAGCTCCTTCAGGGTCTAGAACTCGTGTCTCCGGGTGAAGAGTTGATATTCGGGGTTAAGGTTTTCGTATATCCTGCCCAGCTCCCTGTCCAGAGTATATTGGGCTCGTTGCATCATGAGTCGAAGCTCGATCATGTCATCCTGGAATGTCTCATTGGGCCTTTGGTACCTGCTTCGGATCGTATCTTCTAGTCGCTGAAAATACCTAGGGGGCAAAAAGAAATCGAGAAACTCCTTTCGGAATTCGTTCCAGGACTTCCCTTGCATCTGGAAAGCTCTAAACCATCCTTCCGCCTTGTGCGTTAGCAATCCAGAGATTTCTCGAGGCAGCTGTTCCGGGCTCCCTCCATAAGATTCCACGCGTTCTTCTAGCCGTTCAATGAAGGCTAATGCGTCCGAATGTCCGTCGAATTTCAGTACCCAGCAGCGCAGTTTGTCGGCTAACATGGCGTAAGAGATTTCTTCCCTTCGCGAATCTCGGAATCCTTTGGCCGAGTGCTGCTCGTAGTTGTCGTCCCTGGGTTGTCGTTCGGTCGTGGCTTCTGGGTGGTTTGAATCCATAGGTCCGGTCCTCGGGTTACTTTGGGCAACTCTGGGATGAGTAGTTGTAAGGGCTGCTGCAGATGGGCTCCCTCCTTCTCTTCTCGGCCGCTTGGTCCGGGTGACGAGGTAGGGGTCCTCGAGTCCTTGGACTGGGTGCACTCCTCTATCCTCCTAGCTTTAGCTCCTTTATCCGCTGTTTGACCGTCGCCGAGTGTTCACCGCGCGAGATAAAAGTCGAGATCCGACTACGTAACTCCTCTACGGTGCCGTTTTCTACGAGGCCGAGATCGATGGCAATGGCCTGCAGCTCTTTTTTTCGCCGATACGAAACCACTGTACACCCATAGGATGGCGAGGGGATTGTCACTTGGGGAAACTGGGTCACTACACTGGACACGAAGGGCACTACGAATGAATCCAATTCGGGGTCGCGACTGATAGGCAGGGATTTCAGTTGGATTCACGATCCTCAGCTCGTTTGGTTATTCCGGCTGGTCGTTGATCCTTCCGTCGTAGTTCTGGTATCCTGGTCGGTGATCTTTGGGGTCGGTGCTGCTGATTGTCCGGGTCGTGGTCCTCGTAATCGCTGATCCTGGTGCTCGTTGTTCCTTCTTATACTGGTCGTTGGTCCTTGTAATCGTTGATCCTTGGGGTCGGTGCTGCTGGTTATCCTGGTGATCCTTAGTCGTTGGCGTGGTGTCTGCGTGTTCACTGTCCCGGTTTAAGCTGAATGCCTACTGTCTTGGTTCGGAGCTGAGTGCATACTGTCATCCTTCTGGCTTGGGGTCGGAAATTTATAGTCTCAGCGTCCGATGCCGCTCCTGCCGGCTGCGTCTCTGCTACTGCCTGCATCTCTGCTGATCGCTGCTTCCCTGCTGTTGCCGGCTGCGTCTCTGCTGCTGCCTGCGTCTCTGCTGATCTCTGCTTCCCTGCTGCGTCTCTGCTGCGTATTTGCTGCGTCCCTACTGCTGCTGACGGCGTCTTTGCTGCTGCCTTTTATTGCTAAGGAGGTTAGGGAAAACAGCCTCGGCTGTACGTGAAAATTGGGCGACTTTGCGTGCAATTTGCAAAAACAATTCACCGTTACTCCTACTGCTGCTGACCGACCACGACTATGTGCGGGTGGGTACAGTCCCGCCGCACGCTGTCACGTTATGATTTTGGTTTCCCTAACAGTGCTGCATGCCTGACTGTTATTTCTTTTCTTTTCTATCACTGCCACGTGGGCCACTGGGAAGATTTTTGAGTCAATCCTGGCTGGACTATGTTTTCGCGCTTCTCCTCCCCATGATTTTCACTAAACGCCCCCCGGGCCACTCAAACTGGAGCCGTGCGTGTCACTGTTCGCCTTCCCTTAGCGCCGTTAGTTCTTGCGCTTGACTTTTCGCGCACGTCTGCCTCGTTTTGCACTCTAGAACCGAGTCCCCCACGATCTCTCACGCTCGCGATCTCGAGCCTCGTTGCCGGTCTCTTGGCTTCGTTTCCCTCTTCGCTATACGCTCACGCTCTCTCTCTCTTTCTCTTGGCTCGTCGCTGATACTCGTTGCGGCCGTTCTTTTATTGTTCTCGCGCTCTCTTGCCGGCCGTACGTTAGTATTGGTTCCGTTGCTATGGTTTCGTCTGCTTAGTTTGGGCTCTCTCTTTTTGTGGGCTGGCTAATATTCGTTGCGGCCGCTGTTGTACTGTTCTCATGCTCTCTTGTCGGCCGTACGTTAGTATTGGTTCCGTTGCTATGGTTTCGTCGGCTCTCCCGCTCTTTTTTTTCGGCACTGATATTCGTTGCGGTGGCCGAGCTGGCCACCCATACCAACGTAAAACCGACAAGAGAGCGCGAGAACAACAGCAGCGTGGGAGCTTTCCGTTGATGACGCGTTTTGGAGATGCCGTCTGATCACAGTTCCCCCCCTTCCTGAAATCACGAGAATGCAGGTACTTATGGGCCCTTAGGGTCGTATAATTAAATCTAAGAATGGGGAATGTCAAAGCTTAACCTAACAAAATATAACAAAAATATGAGCATTAATTGTCTCCTTGTAGGAACAGAATGTTGTCCCTTCAGTGGGAATGAAAAGAAATTATGTCCATCTGTGGTTCCCTTCATGGGAGAAAAATTGTGATGGAGACGTTTGCTCCTTCACAAGTTTTTAAAACCAAAAACATAACGACTAGTTATGTGATTACAAGAGTAAGGGAATTATGTACTCGTTTCGGAATAGTAAATACAATTGTAAGTGACAGTGGTAGACAATTTACTTCGGATTAATTTAAAAAATGCACTCAAAAGAACAAAATTAAGCAAATCCTTACTGCTCCTGGTCATCCAGCGACAAACAGAAAAGCGGAAAATTTGGGGAAGACCGTTAAGAAATCTATTTGTGCGAAATTTGATTTCAACAAAAACGAAAATTTCAACCTTATATTAAATCGGTTTTTAATGGATTATCCCAATACAAAATATGGATCCACTGACGAAAGTCCGTCACAATTTAATTTACTTAAGCCACCACTTATTAAAGAAACAATGCTTGAAAAGCAAGAAAAAACATTGTCAAATTATAAGGAAAAGAGATCAGTAAATTTTAAAGATGGAGATAATGTTTTTATTCGAGATTATTCGAAACCTAATAAAAGTTCTTGGACTCCTGCTATTATCAAAGAAAAGACTGGTTCACGCTCATAGTGCTGCATTTTATCTAACAACAGAACAATTAAGCGACATACTGATCAAATAAGGTCAGGATTAGAAGAAAGCCAGACAGTCAAAAACGATTTCACAGGGGAGAGTTATTTGAATTCTCAATGTTCGGATCAAAATGCAGTTGAGGATGATGTAAACATTTCTAGAGATTTAAGAAATGAACTTTTAAATAATAATTCAGAACAAGTCAAACGAACGAAATATAATTGTAAACAAAGAAGATAATGTATTACCTAGAGTGCTAAGAACCAGAAAAAAAGTGGGAATAGTATTGAAATGACAATTTGTAGAACTACCATACCATATGTATAAAACAAACTTATTATTTCATGAATATCATTGGAACAACTTAGAAGGTTCTTTATCCAAAGGTTGATTGCGGGATGCGTGTTGGTCGTTTCTAGGCGGTCCATTAAAGCGTTCGTTTTCACGTTGTTGAATGCTCCGGATATGTCTACAAACACTCCTAAGGCATACTTTTTATTATGAAGGGCTCTTTCATTGTGGCTACTAGCGAATGCAGTGCCGTCTTCACCTATTTCCCTTTGATAAAGGCATGCTGATTGGCTGACATCATCGTTCCTAATGTGTAGATCCAGCAAAACCGAAGCAAACCGATTCAGGAGGAACGAGAGGAGCAGCAGAAAAAAGAAGGCGAAAAAATAAACGAGTACCCAAGCTGGAGGCAACGTAAGACTTAGTGGATGTTCAGCAGCGTTCGTTGTTC